GCCCTCCACGTAGCGCGCCAGGAAGAGCCAGGGGTAGCCCAGGTGGAAGCGGCTGCCCTCGGGCAGCGCCACCGAGAGATTGTGCGTCTCGGCGAAGCGGAAGAGGACATTGAGCACCGTGCTGCTGGCCGTCTTGTGCGTCTTCAAGAACATGATGTTGGTGACTGGCGGCTTCGCGTTCCCCCGGAGCAGGCTGCAGGGGAGAACTCGGAGGACGTCAGGAAGAAGGGGGAACCCTCTCGAGAGCCCCAGCCCTGTGTCCCCCCACCCAGGGACCCCCAACCCTGTGCCTCCACCCCTGTGCCACCCCATCCCACAGCCCTCCAACTGGATGACTCCCCCACCAAGCCTGTGCCCCTTAACCCAGCAGGTCCCAATTCCACTACTCAGTGATCCCTCCCCCAGCCTGACCGGCAACCCCAAGGGACCCACTGGTCACTGGACACAATAGCTCTCCCTCTGTCCACTGGCAATGGAGTGTGGAAGCTCAGTCCTGCCTCTTCTGGCAGCCTCTTGCCCTCCCAGGACGTTACCTGGCTCCTGTCTGCCTGAGACTTGTCCCTGCCATCCAGAATACCACCTGCCTCTCTTGGCTGGCACTTCACATGGGACAGAGTGCACACTGGTGCCCACTCAGGAGGGGCACGCCTTGTCTGGAGCCCAGGCTCCCCCAGTGGCAGCCATAGGCCAGACGCTCTGGGTTCAGGGTCCTGGGTCACCAAGTCCTGTCCCCAAGCCTATCCTGCCCTCATGGAGGGCTGCTGAGGGGACCAGGCACCCTTGGGCCTCCCTAGACCAGAGCAGGTTGGAAGGGAAATCGGAGGGCCGGCAGTGAGAGACCCACACAGTTGGGCTGTGGGGGGTCTGTGGAGCCTGGCAGAGGACTCCGACCTTGGTTCTCCCAGACTGGATCCCAGGGCCAAGCTGGCCTGGTCGCTTGTTCCCAGAGCCTAGAGGAGCCCCCAGTGACTGGCCCCACCCTCTTGAGCCCCAGTCTCAACACCAGAACCCTCCAATCATCCAGAAGGTCAGCCCTTCCCTCCCAGGGGAGACCACTGAAGGCGGGACTGGCCTCCAGCAGAGGCGCTGAGGCCACCCCCTCATTGGCTATCCTGGCCTCAGGAATCCACAGCCTCACTCAAGGGTCCAGGCAGCACTTTCAGAACCCCTAAAAAGTGGGGGGCCCCAGCAGGTAACAGGTTACAGCAGAGATGAGTCCCCACTTGCTCTGAGAGAGACTGGGGTCTAACAAGAAGGTGTGTGCCACAGGACCACCCCAGAAGTGGGGACAAGGGCTCTGCCACAGCGACTTTTGCCAGGACGGTGGCCTCCCAGGACTTACGGTGTGAGAAAGTCCATCTCCAGGTGCAGGAGTCCAGCCAGCAGGCACAAGGTCAGGACCAGGAAGATGAGGAAGCCCTGGAAGTACCTGGAGCGGGGCAGGGTGCATGTCAGGGCACAGAGGGCAGCCCCTCCAGCCCCACCAAAGGCCCAGACCCAGGTCCACAGACTATCCGCCCTAGCACAGAGCCACACAGGTGCAGGGGAGGGGGTGCACCCGCTGTACACACAGTGGGATCAGATTGCCCCTCCACCCCAGTCCTCCCTCCACACACAGCTCAGGGGCCTGGAGAAGCCTGGAGCATCGGAGCAGAGGAAAGAACAGACCAGAAACCCTGAGCCCCTCACAGGAGACCCAAGTGAGGCCAAACCCAGCACCCCAGGAGACTGTGGGGCTGGAGAGGCCAGCAGAGGCCAGCACAGAGGGGGCCCTGGAGGGCCTGGCCTGTGAGCAAGCCAAGGTCCCTGGCCTGTGAGCAAGCCAGGAAATCCCCAGTGACTCCCCCTCCACTCCTAGCTCCCTCTGGATTTCAGTCCCTCCTCCATCAGCACTCCCAGGGCCTTTGCTGTGCTCCACCTCAG